TTTATACAGAAAGGGTGATAAAGTATTGGAGTGGTTTGCCTGGGAGGTGGTGAAGTCATTATCTCTGGATGTGCTTAAAGAAAGACTGGATGTGGCACTTGGAGCCATGGTTTAGTTAAGATGTTAGGGCTGGGTGGGACTCAATGATCTTGAAGGTCTCTTCCAACCTAGTGATTCTGTGACTTCTTTCCTCTTTGCACCTGCAGCAGCGTTTGTTGCTTCTGTTTGTCTTTGTTACTCTCTGTCTTTGCTGCCAGAATGGCTTCCCATTACCTACTGTTATGGTTGAACTCCAGCCAGCAGCCAAGCCCCATGCAACAACCTCTCAATCACTCACCTACCAGTGGGAGCAGGGAGAGGATCAGATGAGTAAAAGTTAGAAATCTCATGGGTAGGGAAATCAAAAGCTACACAGAAAAGCAAATCAACAAGGAATTAATTTGCTGTTTCCCATGGCCAGGTGTTCAGCCATCCCAAGGAAAGTAGAGCTCTGTCATATAACAACTGCTTGGGAAGACAAACACCCATCATTTAAAACGTTCCCCCATTCCACCTTATTCCCTCCACTTTATATACTGACCTCTTCCTGAAGCCTATAGTGCTGCATGGGGTTGTTTTGACCCTGGAGCAAGAATCAGCACTTGGTCTTCTTGAATCTTATACCATTGGCCTTGGACCATTGATCCACCCAGTCCAGATCCCTCTGCAGAGCCTTCCTGATGTCCAGCACATCAACTTCCCACCCAACATGGTGTTGTCTGAGAATTTACCGAGGGTGCACTCAATCCCCTCATCCAGATTATCAATAAAGATACTAAACAGGAGGTTGCAATCTCCCAACTCCTTTTTTCCCTTGAGATGGTAATTATCTTTCCACACTGATGTCTTTCCTCTTGATTGTGGAGCTACTTGCCTAGTGCCATCCCTGTGTGCCAGCCTTTCTCTCCAATTTTATCTCTCTTACCTTTCATAATTCAACTCTATGGACTGCTTTAGATCTCCTCCTCTCAACTGAATGATTTCCTCAAACATCAGAGCAAAGGTTGGGTCGTTGTACCACAGCAGAACTAGGATGACAGCAGCAGCAGTAGGAAAGGAGGGGAGATTATACTGCTCCTTGTGTTTGTTTCTGAAGCATCCACACGGTCTGTATATTTGGCAGTTTCAACGCCCTGGAAGGTCCAAGTAGTAAAGTCCATGTTGAGAATGCATGTTGTGTGACTTTAATATTTATTTCAATAATTTTGCATTAGGGATGCTTTGAGCTTATCAGATGCAAGTGTTCCACAAATAAGTTTCTCTGTAATAATGTCCTAGATTTTTTTTTTTTTCAAGATGAAGTAAAGGGATGGGTAAACAGCTTTCTGGAGGACAGTATTTCACTTGGTAATGACACAAATTTTTTTTCATCAGCAGCTTTTAGATGTTAGCAATGACGTGAACCAATTTCAAATATAGTCTGCTAAAAATGTAGCTATGAGAGATATGTTATTGGGAAAAAGATGACTAATGAGATGGATATGCTCCATGCCTTTTTTTCCCATGCATCTAGGTTTAAAGGCAAAAGATTTCCTGAAGTCTTTATTTTTCAAGAAGCAAACATCAGTATTTTTCTGAACTCAGGAGCTACTGAGATATGGCTTCCCACTTTTTTTTTTTTTTTTCTTGTGGTTTATGTATTTTCCTGTCTCTTAAATGGATGATCACACCACTGCGTTTGCTGAGTAAGAAAACTTTTAGGGATATAAATCCGCAAAAACATGTAATAAATATTACAGTGCATGTAACAGGTGTGTTTTCTCTCTAACTGGACACCTCTTTTCATAAACCTGTAATTTTCCAGAAGGTTTAAATGCTTACCCTGAAAAACATTTTTAAACTTTTTAAAAGAATTATTTGAATAATGAATGTAGCCAAATGTGTGTGATACAGTAATACATAAGGTACTGATACAGATGCAGAAATAAAAAATTTCAACTGTGTTACAATATTTAGAACACTGAGACGTTGGTGTCTATCAGTTACACAAACTGTGTTTCTCTTGTGAAGATAAAATCAGTAGGGGATTATATTGCCTAACTGTCCTACAGCCTGACAGCTCTGTTATGACAGGATTGCAGATACCCAGTGGTCAGTGCCCAGCCAGGTGTCTCAGATACATGCCTAGCTGTAAGCAATCCAGCAACTTTGATAACAGACTCCATACCTACCATGAATGATGGTAGGTATGATAATTTGACTCCCAGGCTCACTATTTTACTTCTGTGCTTATTGCTGGGAGGTGAATGGACTATCTTAAATCTAAATTTTATGAGATTTTTAGACTTGAATTTACTTGCCACCTGGGAAAGGGTTGCTTTTCCCTTGGCTTCCAGAATCTGCAGACAAGGGGTTAACTCATGTATGCACAAATGACACAGGTCTGCCATGTAGGGTTTGCAAGTTCCTGGATACCTGAGAGGCCTCTTAGGTCCTGGACTGCCCTACTGGCAAATACCACACTCCTGCAGTTCACAAAAGCTTCTTCCTTGGGGAAATATCTTGCAGCCCTGTGCTGCAAGCACTTGGTGTTTCTTTACCTTTGGCTTTCTGTTCCCTGCAGGGTGGGGCTGTTGGTCCATTTGTCCTAGCAGCTGGTCAGTGTGAAAGCAGTTTTGTTGTTGCTTGTGTTTTCAATTGTGCTTTTCAATTAACGCTTGTCCACCTACTATAAGGTGATGCCATGACAATAAATAGAGCTCATATAAAAAGGTCATAATGCCCTGAAAGCCTGTCTCAAAAACATGTTTGAAAAATAATCCAAAATTTCTTTGGCATACCACATCTGGGTCCGTTTTGAATTCTGTTGTATTAGAAGGATATTGAAATACTGAAGTGAGCGTGGCATGGTCCCCTGTGATTGTGACTGGAGTGGGTGGTGTACAGGAGAGTCTGAGACAATTGGTTTTGTCTTATGAGGGGAGTGCCAAATGAAGATGTCTTCACCTGCCTAAAAGAAGGATGGGCAGAGCCGGGTTATTCTTGGCTGTACTCAGCAAAAAGAAGACTTGTGGATACAAGGGACAACAAGCACTTAGATAGAAAAGTATCCTCACTATGAGCCGTGATTGAACACTGGAACATGGTTACCAAGGGAGATTGTAGTCTCCATCCTTGGAGATAATCAATACCTAACAAGAGAAAATTTGAACTGCATGATCTCTAAAAGTCCCCTTCAGCCTAAGTTGTTCTGTGATTTAAATCTTAAATCTCTAAATCTTTAAATCTCTTTTAATCTTTTATACATCTCTCTGTCAGACTAGAATTTTATTTTCAGCTTATTCTACACATGAAGAGAAAAAAAGCCAGGAAATACTTTCTTAAAATTCAATGGGGGTTTTCTTTTTTTTCACTGACTGAGCCATTTCTTTGCCGATAGTTCAATAAAGAAACATTCTTTTTGATTGTGAACACTCTAAAGTATATTTTTCTGCCATTAATTCATCAGATCATCATCTGATCATGCATCTGACTTAAAATTTATAGGGAATAAAATAAAAGCTTGGTTTTCTTGAAAGCTTACAATCTAGGAAAAATCTTGATTTTGCAGAAGAATTCTTTTGTATCCTCTTTTTGTTATAATAGGGTCAAAGTTAGATCTCAGGTATAAGGCCAATAGGTGGAAGTAGATGAAAATATAAAGACAGTTTGGAAATAATAATAAATTTTTAAAAATTGCTGTCTTGTCTTGTAAAAAAAGAGAAAAGAGACATTTCCCTAACCAGATATGATTAGATTTCAAATAAATTGAGATTCAACTGCACTCCAAAGAAGATTATGTATTCATGTAATAGGTCTTTCTTGTTTGTGGCCTTTTTTTTTTTTTTTTTTTTTTTTTTTTTTGTGAATGAAAATTAGATTGGCCGAATGTATCTTTCAAACCAGTAAGACAGACTCTGCAGGTTCTTTATTTCAGGGAGAGTTGTAAAATAATCCTTAAAGGCAAATTACTCCATTAGGTTAGCACAGATGTGTCATTTGCATCCAAACTTTGTGGCTGTATATGTGATATCAGCATGCACCTGTCCAGCTGGATGAAGCGTGTGAAAGCTTCCAAAAAGGTCATAAAAGACTCCTTTCATTTTCAACAGGAGGATGGTGAGACTGATGTAGGTGCAAACTAAATTACAGGATTAGTTTACAGTTTGATAAACAATGTGCTCTTACTACACAGCTATGTAGTTGCTAGTGCTGAGTAAAAGATTGGGTAGAGCATTATGCTCCAAGAAGCCGGGAAGGGACAGATTGTCTCATCAGCAGCATGATCAGGCACAGCTGGTGACGAGTCTGCATCTCAGTTACAGCTTTGACTTGGGTTACTCTCTGAGCCACTGGAACCAAAAAAGGGATTCATTCTTCATGCATCAGACAGTGGAGCTGTGCAACTCATTGCAAGAGGATGTTATGGATGCCAACTGTTCAAGGGGAGACTGGAAAAATACATGAAGAATAATTCATAGACGTTTTATATATATAAAGAAATGACATCTTACTGTGCCTTTGACATCTATTTTACCACTGTGATAGAGAGAACATTGAACTAGGTGGTCCTTGTGTTTTCTAGGTTCTTCAGATGGACCTTTGATTTTTGTGTATATCCTGAAACCATATGTTTTAAATGATCTTCCTAAAATCCCTTAACAATTTATTTTGCTGCTTGCAATGTTTGTTGTGGTCAGTGACTGAGCAAATATTAACTAAGGGTATTACCCAATACTATTCTACCATCATTTATAAAAGCAGAACTGGTTTACAGTGTTGCAGGAAGGTTATCTCACATCTAGGAGATAGTTGTTGTAACCCAAGCAGTTTTGATGACAGACACTATTACACCCTTGTTTCAATTTAGACTTAATTCACTCTAAGTTTCCTATATCTGAAGAGTCTTGTTCTAGAATGATGGGTATTTTTTGGTTGATTTTGTTTTGTTTTGTTGTTGTTGTTTTTTTTTTTTTTAAGAAATGGAAAAGCTGGTTGCTTGTGTACAAAAAAAGCCAGATGCTGTTTGTAGACTGATTTGCTTTCCATGGGCTGGAAGTGGAACCTCACAGCTTGCTCAATGGGGCAGACTCTTCAACGACTCAGTTGAAGGTTAGTCATTTTGTAGCTACAGGAGAAGTTAAGCAATTCTGAAATACACATTAGCCAGATTTTTTTAATGGAATGTAATAGTATTGAGAGCACCACAATCTTTATCCAATGTGTCTTCTCCAGAAAGGAAGGAACTAGCATTCATTAGGAACTAGCACTTCCACTAGGGTACATTTTCTGTACCACCTTGAATCAAATTATATTTGATTGAGTGAAAAAATTATATCCTCAGAGCTATATTTCACAAGAGTATAGTATGCTTGACTGCTTCAGACACTACTGGTATGATTCAGAAACAGAACTACACTGAATATTGTTGATAAGCCAGTCTTCAGCAAGGTTAACAGTGAAGATAAGAAAACTATTTTTAATTTTGAGAGGCTGCAGACTATCTCTTATCCAGTGTTTGTACTTCTTGTATCAAAACTAAAATTTAATCTATGAATTTTATGACAGTGAAATGATGTTTAGTTACACTATGAAGTAATTCTCATTGCTCACAAGATACATCAGCACTAAAAAGATCTATGCTTGATCTATTTAAGAAGAACCAAGGCCATTTTCAAAACCTTCCATAAAGAAAAATTTCATATTCATGAGCATTGCCATTGCAGTTTTACCAGTCCTCTAAATGGAAGTATACTTTCTGGTAAGCAGTTGAACATTGAGTTTTCCTTGAAATTAGGGGAAAAAACAAAAAAGAAGAACAAAAAAAGTTTTGTCCACTGGTACTACTTCCAAGAAAGTTACTAAGGAAATGGCCTAGCACCAAGTGCAGATGCAGACGAATAAAGTCAGGGCACAGCATGTTCCTTCAGGGATGGTTTCTGCAGAAAGTATAGAAGATGCACACTTTTCTGTACTGGTATCTATGGTATTAGGTTGTGGTTTAGTCTGTCTCTTCTAGAAGAGTCTATCTCTTTGTGTCTGACCCATTACTTCTACATAACTAGCAGTATGCATGATATCAAGGAGATTTGAAAAAAATAAACATTTTTTTTCTGATCTATTCATTCCTTACTAAACAGTGAGAAAAAAATCCTCAGTCTTGAAAGGAAAATAGTAAAAGCATATAAATTTTCTTCTCTATAAATAACTATAAATGTAACTATAAACATCCACCAATTTGCACTATGATTCCACATTTTCCCATGTGCAGTGCTGAAGAGCTGACAAAGAAGAAAATAGGGATTATACAACTCAAATATAGTTTCACTTACTAATGCTGCCTGTGAAAGGATGTACTTTACACAGCCCTCAAACTTACTATTATTGAAGTTAATGAATTTGTGGTTGTTACTAAAACTTGTAACAATGAAGTTGCTTTCAAATCTCAGCTGAAATCAGGATCTTGTGGATTCTGACCCAAGGCATTTATCAATCAGATCAGCTGGAGGAGCAACACTGAGACTAAATGAAGGGTGGAAACCTGATCTCTTGCAGGATTAAATCACAGTAGCAGCAATAGCAAGCAAGTGCACAACCTGTATATCAACTGTAAGAAGGTTAATTAAAGTAGTATGTATATTCTGCAGAATAATTTAAAAACTTAATTTAAATTATTTTACTGTATCTGTTTGGAATAACTATAATTCTTTTCCCTCCCTTCCTTCACCTCTTCTGCAGTGTTCTGTATAAGGCTTCCTGGAAGAGAAACTCGTCTTGGGGAGCCTTTTGCAAAAGACATGACAAGTGTAGTTAATGAAATTTCAACTGTTTTGTTAAAAGAATTGAAAGAAAAACCATTTGCATTTTTTGGTCACAGGTAAAAATATATACATTTTTGGATACCCTGGTGAAGGAGCTTCTATTTCTGAGCTCTAGGAGTAGAGAGTTACTTGTTTTTATTTGCAAAACCTGTAGGAAAAATATGCTTCTGCAAGGATCTTCTGTAAAGTCATCCTAAAACATGCAGTTGCACTCAAAGACTCTGGTTATTTATTTATACCTTCAGGTGCAACATCTGAACATGTGTTTCTAATCAATTATAATTGCATTTATTGTTAATATTTGTGCCAGTGCTTGATATATGTGAATGCAGGGGGTGAACCATTTATGAAACACAGATTTTAAAGATTGCTGAGTCTCAAGTATTCAAAATAACTGTTCTTATTGAAAATTAAGGAGACTATTAAAATAAAGAGAATATGAAAAGGTCGCATTTGCAAAATTAGACTGTGTAGGAATTCATGTCAATAAACTAATATCATTATAATCTGCATGTCATAGACTGTTTCAGCAATTGTTCAATATAGCCAGTTAGCACTGAAAATAATGTTTATATTTTCCAGTTTTTGTGTATGTTTTTACTTACTTTGCTTTAATTTCTTGTTTTGCTGCAGTTTTGGAACTTACACGAGTTTTGCCGTTGCACTTCATTTGAAAGAAAAGTACGGACTGGAGCCAGTCCATCTTTTCATGTCAGCAGCACATTCCCCAAATGTAAGCTACATAATCATTAACATTATGAAACAGAACCATAAATTAGCTACTAAGAGTAAGAATAATATTTTACAGTATGGTATGCAGACTAGTTTTTATTTAAAAAAAATTAACATTTCTTCAGAATCTATGGAGTGAAAAGTGTTCTGAGGTAGATGCAGAATATGTGATATTCACTGCTGCTAACCTTAGCCTTGGGAGAACAATCTCTTTAAACTAATGCTGTGACTAATTAATGCTTAAACTAACTAATCCTTAAACTAAACTTTTTTGAATATTGTGTTATTTAGTATGGCCATTGGCTTAACACTCAAAAATAATCAAACCAACATTCTGAGTGGTCCTCCTTACTGTGTAATGTGTGAAGTAACTGTCTTTACCCAGTCTTTCATAAACCTGCTGCATCAGCCCTCAGTACATTTGTCCCATTTTTTTCTCTCTCCTCATTCTTTGTACGACTTTTAATCAGTTTTTTTCTGAGGTTCTGCTAGTCTTTCTCAGAAAAACAGTAGTGAAGTGGCATTTTTCCAGTCCTGTCCTCAGTCAGCATTTGCTATTTCTGTTCTTCAGTTTCTAAGGCTTCTTAACAGCCCTATCAGCTAGTGATTAATGCAAGCAATTGTTATTCCCACAAATTTCCATAATCAGTTGGTTTCTTCAGTCCTACATTAGCCATGTTTATGTCCAGTGCTAGGTTTTTCTTTCTCTTAGATTATTTTACTAGTTGTATTTCAATAGTAAGAGTCAAGCTTGAACAAAGTAATATTTACTGTTATTTATATAAGTTTCAGAAGTACAGAGTACTTGGCTCACTCATAGTTTGTAATTACAGTAAGCACAGTCTACTAATCCTTTCCATGAAGCGTTCTCTGTGATTGTTAAACGAATCAGCCATTGTATTCTGGAGCCGGAAAATTATTGTACTTTTTACTAAAATAATTTTAATGAAAAAGTTATTTAAAGTATATTATATACAACATCTGATCTGCTTTGATACTGACAGTCTGCAGCATATCTTGCCGTCAAAAGCATAGTCCTACCTGATGGAAGCAATGACCTTCTTGCAATTATGGAGATTCTAGGAGGAAATTTTGAGCTCCCACACGATGAAGACATTTGGAGAGATACGGCGCTTACTTTCAAAGAAGACGCTAGACTTTTTCAGACATTTTCGTAAGTTTTACAACTTTGTGTTACTTCTGTATTTGTATTTTATATTTTTATTTCTGTCTGATCATGTTTTCTTTTTTCTTTCTTAGTAACTTGTTCTCATTTCTATTATAAAAAGAATAAGAAACAGTAAACATAGTTTTTTTCCTTTGTGTGCTTTTCTATTTGTTTTCTGGTATTTAAGCCCTAGATGAAACACTGAGTACTGCAGCAACCACAACTGTTACTGCAGTAGTGAACCTGTCATGGCAGAATTACAGTTCTACCTACGATCTAAAGTTAGCAGCTACTAAAAGAATATTCTCGTGTCTTTTATTGTTTTCTGAGATTAACAACCTCTGCTCATCATCCTTCAGGAACACTGCATTCAGCCTCCAGATACAAGGTCCTCTAGCCTAACCAGAAAAAGAATCCCTGTGTTCTGGGCACTCAGGCAGCAACCAGCTTCCTGTGTCTGAACTGTGGTCCCCACTGGACATTACATGACAGTTCATGTAGCTGAGTGGTTAAGGCTTCTTACCTTGGCAAAAACAAGGACATTCTTGGATGTGGGACCCATTTTGGTCTTAGGAATCTGACACTGAAAGATGCTGAAATGTTAGAACTTGTATATAAGTAGGTAACATCATTATTTATTGTAGGTAAGAATTTTTATTGCAGGATGAAGGTCTTTCTTTTCCCTAACTATTGGGTCATTCTTTCTTTACAATGTTATATCTAATTGCAGTAGGTTAAGGAGCTAAGAAACTTCCAGAGCATTTTCTTTTCCTGATGTTCTGTATAATCTAACTCCTGAAATTTGTTAAGTTTTGGAGAAGAACAAAAAACCTTTTTTGTATGTGGAAGCAAATTTCAAATATACATATCTTATGGAATGTTCTATGACTACTTTTATGTTCACAGATTTGAGAAGACAGAAATGAATACCCCCTTCTCTTGTGATATTACCTACTTTTGTGGGTCTGATGATAAAATATATGATGCAAAAGGTACTTTGTTTAAATGGTTTTTCTCTTATTACTTTCCTCTTACTTACACATTTTCTTGTTGTATTGCACCCATTAATTAGAATTTTCTGGAGTCTACCTCCTTCTTAAAGGAAACAAATCAACAGAGTACTTTCAATATATGAACCAAAAAGTTGATATTGGATTTAAAATAATTATTAAATTATAGCTTTTAAATAGTTATAAAAAAATGATCACAATAGTTGACATTTCTCTGACACTTTGAATATCTTTTTTAGGTTGGCAAGAATTAACAAGTGGTGATACTTCCTTTTATGAGCTTCCTGGAGATCACCTTTACCTGCTGAAACCATCTAATGAAAGCTTCTTGATAAAACACATCACAAGAAGCATAGAAAATGGTCTATGAGTATTTCCCTCAATTTTAATTAGCAGAATGTGTAAGGTTAGTCCACAGCAATTTGTAATAAGTCACTTCTTTCTCTACATTGCATAAAGTTACCCCTCAAAGTTGTTCTGTTCCTTGTCTGTAATCCTTTATAAGGGGGAATTTTCCTGATGTTTTGAAAACAAACATTGGCTTTGGTCTTAAAAAAGGTTTCATCTTTTCCTTCTCTTGCACATGTACAAACTCTTCACTTTATTCCATAACCTTGTTTGCAAAAAAATTATGTCTATGTTATTCTACTGTTAGAGCTTCTCTGTTTGTCTGCTCCTGTCAAAATGCTAAATATAATTTAATACCAACAAAAATCCATAATTCTCACAGAAAGCTTCATTTATTCAATTCAAATTTATTTAGATTAATATACAAGCTAAAAATAGGTTATATATGTAAATACCCTTTACAGTCAAACAGCTTATGCTTAAAAGATGTTAGTGTCAGACCTCACAATAAGGAGTTAGTATTGCATTTTTCTCAACAGAGTTAGTTCATTAGCTACTGAAGAGTTAAGTATTAGTGGAAATTATTTTGAATAGTCTAGATCCCATATTTTTCTACCATTGCTCTTGCTTTAGAGATATAGGCATTCATGGCATCCTCCTTTGATAAACCTGCAAAGGAAAGTAGGAGTCATTACCTTTCCTCATTTGTCATCCTATAAACTTGACTACAGGATGTAAATTTAATTGGTGTAACACCTTTTTTCAGGTTCCATGCCTCCCATTTGGCTTTGCCTTTCAAATCTAGCATTCCTGGACATTCTGCCAAAATAAATGCATAGTTTTGGTTATCATACAGATTTACATAACATTAGATTGATTTTATCAAGATATGAGAGTAATTGTGAGGTATATATATTAATACCAATATTAATATCTCCAACAGTAGCCTGTTTGTAGAATCCATATAGTTCCTTCAGTTCTTCATCAGTTGGTCTTGTTTTTAATTTTTTTACATCTTCTGCAGCACCATCAAAGTCAGCCTGATGAAAGAACAGAAAGGGTTTTCCTCTCAAGGGGTGTTTTTAAAACATGAGTTACAAGACACACAGTAGTATCATTAGATAGTCTCAATGAATCACTTGAGTTTAGCAATCAGACAAAGTTTTTTCCCATGAAAGAAGCTTCATAAATATGTACATTGTTAGAAAGGGATATAGGCTTGTATGGCTGATAGGGGCAGCCTCCACAATTTATGCATATATGTCTTTTACAGTCATACTGGAGGTATGAAGCCATTCACTGAACTTTACATCCCACAGTAATCTCTGAATGGTTTTGACCCTGCCTACACTGTGTTGGCTCAAGTGGTGGAGCTCAAATCCCCTCTGAGTGGTACTGCCCAAATCACCCTCCATTTTCTCTGCTCTGCTGACAGGGAAGTAGGTACCAACACCTGGCACAGAGTTGCCTCATGGAGATGAGCTACTGCCAGGACCATCTTCCACAGCCATCTCTAAAACACAGGAGAGCACCAGAGTAAAGTGTAAATTTACTCCTTTCATCACTGTGCATCACACACTCACATCAACCTGAGGCTGTAGCTCTTCTCAGTATAAAGCATGTCTCAGGCTAAGACACTCTGTTTCATGCCCAGAACATTTCAGAGAGAGACAAATTTTTTAGAGTACTACAGACCCATCAGGTCATCGCATTACGCTAATGCAGAATAATACAAGCGTTTTAACATGCTATATGCTGGTTTCAACAATTATTTTACCCTTTTAGTTGGATCTGCATTTACAGAGGTACAGTATATCCTGCACAAATATTTAAAATGTACAAAACCAGGTGTATTGGTTTTGCATGGCCTGGTTTTTGGTTGTTGGGGTGGGGGGCTGGCTAAAAGGGTGGCTTCCATGGGAAGCTGCCAGAAGCTTCCAACATGTCCAGCAGAGCCAATTCCAGGCGACTCCAGAGATGGATGTGCTGCTGGGCAAGGCCAGGCGGATTAGAAATGTTAGTAACACCTCTGTGGTAACAGATTAACAGAGGCTTTATGTCTCTAAGTTGAGCCCGGTTTTGCCCTCAATGGTATTTGATGAGCCATCTCTCTCCTGGTCCTTATCTCAACTCATGAACCGTTTGTTAAATTTTTTCTCCTCTGTCCAGCTGCAGAAGAGAGTGAGTGAGTGGCTTTGGTGGGTGCCTGGCATCTGGCCAGCATGAACACACTATTTCAGCTTAAAAGTTTGTGTAAAAGTCAGCAGTGATTTCAGCATGAGTATTGTGGCTCTGTTTAAATCACTGAAGTCTGCACTGTGCTTCTTTATACAGGAAAGATTTGATTTTTTCTTTTTTTTTTTAAGAAAACCTAATGCATGTTTGTCTCCTTAATTGATGCCTTTCTCCTTGGCAAGTGACTGTGCTGGATGGACCAGGTGATGGAAATAAGCAAATATGAATGAGAGCTAGGTTCACTGCAGCATTCTGTATTTAAACAAAGTACAAGAGAAAGGTTATTTCTTTTTTTAAATTTAAGAAGGAAAAATGAGTTGTAATTTAATTAGAGAGTGATGTTCAAGCACCTTTCCTCACAGAAAGGCCCCTCCCTGGAATCATGAAACTACATATTCATTGACATAAGGACATACCAGCTGGTGGCTGCATTAAGGCAGGAGCAGCTGGCAAAACAGGGTAAGGACAGGGAGCTGAGTGCACTGCAGTTTCCTGCACCGAAACTTGGCCACTCTACCACCAAGTGAGTCATCTCTGCCTCCTGAGATGGAATTCACTTTTTATTTTGGTCTGGAAATTTGGTTTGGCTAATGAGATTGGCCAGATACAAACTTCTGAGGAATTCCTAATTTTTTGCAAATTTTTAATTGCTGTATGAAACCCGCAAAGGGAAAGCACAAGCCTTCTAAGAACAGAAGTGCTCGCCACAGGAGGATGTGCATCTGTAATAGCAGTGTTGCAACAAGGAACAGCAGGCAGAAAGGTGCATTTAAAAGGAATGTTTTAAAAAAAATCATGATGTGTGATTAAAAAGGCATTCTAGCTCCCTGCAAAACAGCAATTAAATCTTGAATATTCTTTAAACTGCACCTGTAAATTCACAAAACAATAGATGGAAAGGATTCATTATGACAATACGCATCTCTAGGTCTGTCAGTTCATAGCACCCTTGAAGTGAAATGAAAGGAAAAGACCAAAATCCTGCAGCAATGCAGATGCTTTTTAACAAATAATCTTCCAACTCAGTGAGAACCTCAGTGCTTGCATAAATGACAAGCAGAAGTATCTGGGAGATTCCCAAGGCCTCCCTGAACCAAATGCCCAGTAGTGGATGGAGGAGTACAGAGAAGAATTGGTGTGCTAAAATTAATAATGACTGTTTTAGTTTGTGAAGTGCTCCTGTTTATTTTGAATATAACAATTCTTCTGAGAATTAGACAGATTCCAAGTGCCATTTGTCTTCTTAAAGATCTGACACTTGGCCATTCAATAAAGTATATGATTTGGCAGTTTGTGCACTAAATTCTAGATTAAATTACTTCCTAATTATATTTTTAAATCTAAAACTTTATATTCTAAAACATGTAATTACTTATGTAGTTTGTTCCTGTTTTAATAAAAATAATTTTCAATGTTACTAAGATACAACTATACCATAAAACCATAGAAAAACATGAAGCTTTAAGCCCAACTTTTTGTGTCTGATTTCTTTTAAGAACACTGTAGATTTTTTTCCCCAATCAAGTATTTGAGAGTGCTGCAAAACAAGTACAGGATTTTTCTAGAATAAAAAAACTAAATAGCTCAGAATACATTCATATGCTATGTATATATGCTATATGTAATTTAGATAAACCAAAACTGTGTGCTCTAGAGTACATATAAAAGCTGAATCAATTATGTTGAAATAGCCTTACAGCATCCCTTCTCAGCTTTTTGGGTTTTTTTTGGTAATATTAATATTTGCTTTTGTGAAAATCTTGCAATCCTATTTTTTCTTCTTATGCTGTATTGTCTCTTGGTCTCCTTCTGCACAGCAACTGTACCTGGATTTGCTACAACCACGTGAAATACTTCAACAAGTTCAGATGTTATGCTCAGTTTTAATTTTTCACCAAAAATTGCTGAGACCCATAATAAGTAAGTAAATAACACTATTGTTCCTTTTAGCAGCAAACCCAAAATGGTGAACCCACATGTTTGGGGCCAGGAAGTCACACCAGCACAGGCAGAGAATTTGGGGTTTGGGGCAGAAGCACCTTGCCCTATGTCTTAGGCACAGCATGAGTGCTTTCAGCCTAGGAGCAGGGAGAGGACAGACACACTGCCACAAGCAGGAGTCTGAACTCACAGTCCCTGTGAGACTGCTCATGGGGCTTTTATTGACAGTCAGGTGCCTTATCCTTCCATGAAAACAGGCCTGTTCCACTTGTGCTCACCTCGGGAAGAGGCAAGGACATGGGGATTGCAGAGGAACTCACATGCTCTGAATTTACAGCCCAGCCTTCCCCTGAGTCACTCCAGCCGTGCCACGCTGCTGTGCAGTGTTCCAGGCACTGCAGCATTAGGTTATTAGGGAGTTTTGTACTAAGGTAGCAAGGCAAGTCTAATTACACAAAATCTCTTACGCACTAACAGTGTTTTTAGGAGATGTACAGCATTTATAATGGAGAAGCATTTAATGAGGGGAAACAAAATCAGCAAACTACCTTACCAAGGAATTAAAAATAGTGGTTCAAAGAAACTGGAATTGTACATATTTGATGCTCTTCAAAGCAAAGCATTTAAAGTCACACTATTGGTACAGATGTATAAAAGGGATGGGCATTCACTTACGAAAATAAATGTGATGACCTACTGCTCAAGGGTTTTTTCAATAGGTACAATTTTATTAAAATAAATATGTCATTATTAATCCAAATATCAGAAATGTGACATTCTTAACTATAACTATGACTGCCTCCTCCATCCCAGACATCTCTTAGTATTAGCCACACACGTGCAAAC